CCGGCCCGGTTTCCCGCCTCCCGCGGGAGGGGCCGCGTGTGCGCGGGGCCGGGGCCGCGGTGCTCCCGCCCCTTCCCCGGCAGGATGCAGCGAGCTGGAGCCGGGGACTGTAAGGACGGAGATCCGGGGCGGGCTGGGGGCGCCGCTAGGACTGCCCCCTACTTGCGGGGCTTGGGCTGGGGGGCTCCTTCCTCTCAGAGAGCTGCCAGGCTCCGGCTCCAGAGGCCTTGTGGGCAGGCCGTCGCCCCTCTGCGTGTCCCTGGGCCTGAGGGGGAGCGCCTTCCCCCCGAGAGGGGCTGTGGGCCGGGAGCGGTCTGCAGGCGCAATGATTTGCGGCCTCCACCTTTGCCTCTCTTCGCAGGTGACGGAGGAAGCAGGCCCCAAGGAGCAGGGGTGTGAAGGAAGCTGGGGCCTCAGCATCTCCCTGCCCTGTCATCACCTTGCTGTCTGGGCTCAAGGAGATGCTACCCGGCTACATGCCTCCGGTTGGAGTCACTCGGCCGAGCTGGTGAGGCCAGGTAGGAACCGGCATCCAGAGAGCGCGGCCCACCTTAGCCGTGCCAGCGCAGCTGGTCTCCGCTGCGCTTGGACCAGGCGCAGAGCAGTGATGTGAAAGGGAGCGAAGACCCCTGCGGTTTCACTTGCCAGAGGAAATTCCCGTATGCACCCTGCTCCCTAGCGATTCCCGCCTCTACCTAGAAGCAGCACAAAAAGGGGTTTTGGCAGGAGCTGTGTTCAGCCCTGCTTAGCTGGAAGCCGTGATTGTGACCTGGTGCCTTGAAGGGCAGACACAAAAGGCACATGGAGGAAATCCTAGGGAGAATAAGAAGCCTTGAGAAAGCACTTGCCGTGATAAAAAGAGTAGTTTGCGTTGTTCCCAACCTGGTCGGTTCCACTAGGTTCAGTGATGCTGCTTGCCTCTGTGTGTATTTAACTGTTCAAAGCTACTGAGTCGTGCAGCAAACTGAGTAGGAAGAGTTTTGTGTCTGTTTGTTACCTTCTCATTGTGACTTGTACTGTTACCCGTGAGGAATTTCTAGGATCTGAGTTTCTGACAGCTAGTGTCTGAGGGTGATTATCTTGCAGAGTGAAGGAAGTGGGTGGGATATGTGTAAATACAAGCTTTAGACAAGTGGTTCTCAAACTTTTTAGTCTCGAGGCACCCCTTGAAAAATGCTAGCTTTCACTGATTTCTTGACTACAGAAAAAGAATAGAGATTTTTTTGTTGCAGAGAATCAGTTCTGATCTGTTGTGGTCTTTCTGTTTCCACAAGACAGATGCAGGATAGGCTGGCCATGCTTCCTCTACACAGCTAAATATTTCACCCTCATGTTCATCACTGACAAGAGGTTTGACTTGAAGGGGGTAGGGCCGACTTGGTCTGTTTAGACTTAGATACCCATCAGACTAGTTGTTGCAGACTAGGTTCACATGCATACCTACCTACTTTGGTTTATCTTGTCTCTTGTATGAGCGTGAGCCTTAGTCACAGCACTCTATGTGGAATTTGAGATTACATCTTTCAGGCCACAGATGTCTGACAGTGTGCAAGAAAAACTGCAAACAGCATCCAGGTACGGCATGTCTCAACAGGACCACTGTGGCTCTCTTTCACTCAGTTTCTTGACCCTACCAGTGCTGGTCTTAAATGCAAGCATTTTTTCCTCTGCAGGCTGTAAAGGACTCCCTACTTCAAATAAATGCAACATAAAAATATGAGGAAATGGTGCATTGTGATTTTGAAAAAATGCCCTGAGTCATCTTGAAGAGACAATGCCCAATGTTTGGGATGTAATATACAGAGAGAGAACAGATATGGACTCATAGTGATGATTATGCTTGTTATGTTTCAGTATATGCAAGGGGATCTATGTGACGTTGCTGCTGCAAAACAGGTCGGCTGTGCTTTATAGGCTAGTAACACAAACAAACAACCAAAACTACCATTCAGAGAATTCTTACCTATGGACAGGGAAAGCAACTAACCTGGGTTTGATTAGTCGGTGGCTTGTATATTTCACAGTGTAAAGGGTGCTGTTGTAGGCTGAACCTCTTTCCTTCTCCCCATTTAAGAACTTGTACAAACTGTGTTTATCTCTGGTTTCCATATTCTAACTACAAAGTAAACTGCCTGCAATCAGATTTTCCAGAGACAACATGTGTTTGCAGGTTTGGTTTACACGTGTCAATACTTTTGCGAGTAATTTTCCATTCCAAAATGAGAGCAAGAATTGTTCATGTAAATGAAAAGTTACTTATGTGTTTCTAGTACTGGGATCGAAGCCCTCTGTGTGGCAGCTGGACCTGTGAAGATGGAGGTGTAGGCTTGGACCAGTCCCATACCAGTCAGGGTTTGGTACAGCCCTGAGGGACTGCCTGGTTGGATATGCTTGTCTCTCTGAGGTCTGTGCAGCCACTGATATGTAATGAGGATGTGAAAATCTCATAAAAGTCATGCATCAACTACTTCTGCCTCTTTAATAAAATAAAAAAAAAGTAAATGAAAAGAGGTTATTCCATATATGAACCTTCCTCCTCAGTATTTTGCAGCTTGGAATCCAAAAGTAATGAGAAAGCCAGAAGGCAAAGCTAACTAAACAACTATAGGAGAGGAGGAATAGTCAAGGGACCAGTCTAAGGCTTGGGTGACCAGGTATAGTGGGTTGTCTGTTTACACCACAGTCTTTATTTCCCTGGGGCCAACTTGCCCCACAGTGTACAACATAAATCATCAAATCACCAAACAAACAATAATGGGTTAATTTATATCCTGCAGTCTTTTGCCAGATCCTGAGAGAGTACCCTGAGTCAATGCTGCTGCTTCTAGCCTCACAGCCTTCTCTTTCTCTCCCCCTTTTCTAGAAACCTTTAACTTCCCCATGGCTAGCAAATTATCTTCATCAACTGACCCAGTCATCCAGGCAGGCCTGCAATCACTTGCTTACTACCTGCAGCTCTTTAGCCGTGCAGCCTGCTACACCAGGGTTCAAATCTCAGCTCCTCTACGAGCTTTCTGTAGGGTCTTTGGGCAGCAAATTAATAGGCTTTTATGCATCAGTTCTTCATCAGTAAAATGTGTGCATAACACCATCTGTCTCACATCATGGGTAATAAATACTCCAAAGATTTTGAGATGCTCAGTTTTTCTTGTTAAAATGGGATGTGGAAGGCTTTTCAATAACAGGGTGTCTCTCCCCAAGGTGAATGAAATGTGAAGCAGTGAGGAAGTGGCACACACAAGGGAAAAACTAACTGGATATAATGTGCTTGTGGGTGTCTATCAGTAATGCAAGAAAAAATGGTTTCTAAATGCATGTTTTTTCTTTTGCCAGCATTTCTCCGATAGAGTGGTGATCTCCTTGCGTGGACCATGGATCTAGGGTGTGCCAAGCACAGGATGAAGCTGCCTTTTATTCCAGGCCATCAAGATAAGTTTCTAAGTTTGGACCCCTTAGTTCAAAATGAAGATGAAGAAGGTCTCTATGGTTTTCTCTGTTTGAGGTGCAATGTGGCTAGTTCTGAAGATGAGCCTGACTATGCATTAATAGCAGATGACAGTCCACCTGCCTTGAAAGAACCTTTCTGTGAGCAGACAATAAAAAGCAAAACTCTGAGAATCTGGAAGTATCATTCAAGTGTTATCAGCTTCAGTGACAACTGTGTCTGGTGCCGAGGGGGGCTTGTTAAAGGGAAGGGACTTCCGAGCAATGGGAATATGTTTGATTTGAACAACCCTGCTCGGCTGCAGTGCAGATGCACACGTGAACCAGGTGAAAGAGCCTGTTTGGAAGGGCAGATTAAACAGCACAGTCCAGAAGTGATTGGAAACCAGGACATCCTGGATTGGGACAGTGATGGAGCTGGAAACTGCGTATGTACTCAGAACCAGTCAAACCACAGTGAAGTGGAGACAAAACTTTGCTGTGTGGTGAGTTCATTCTGTCTTGTTATCATTGTCAGGACATGTTCTCTGCCAGGGCCAAGACTTTCAAAAGTGGCTGGTGATTTTCTTTTGTTTTGGGGGGTGCCTGAAAGGGACTTATTTTTTAGAGAGCAGGTGCACAATATTTTTGAAACTTGAGCCTCTCTAAAGAGTGTTGGGTTGCCCAGATGACAAGCAAAGAACTCGGAATCACTAGCTACTTTTGACTATCTTTCTATGTCTTGGTTCAGGCCAAAAAGCTGCACAGCTCACATCTTGCATATGGAATTCACACTTATGTCCCTGATTCTTTAGAAGCTTTGTGGTATTTTCAGCAAGTCAGGAATTAACATTTAGACCTTAGAGAGGCACAGGGTGGAGTAATAGGTCAGATGTGGAGGCTAGAAGCCCAGTCTGGCCCTCTGAAGGCTTGCAGGAAATGCTATTTTAATAATAGCTATTACCAGTAGAAAGGGGCATGGACTCTGGGAAAGGAGAACCCAGCTGCTCTTGTGCTGAATCTCAAACTGGGTGTTTTCCCTTTGTTTTTCTGGTATGCAAAGCTACTTTTTTGTTTCTCTAGTGCCTAAAACCATGAGAAATGGCACATGATGCTGCCTTTGGCCTGTTCCTTCGTTGCTGATTCAGCTGCATCACCCATAACCCAAAATGTATAGTTGTTTTACTGTGTGGCTGGTTGGGGGGTAAGGTGCTTAGTCAGTCAGCAGTAGGAATGGTCAGGGCCTTGGAATAACTGTTGGCCTGTTTGTGTAAACCACTCTCAGTTTATTACTGAGTTAATGATCAGGGCTACTGAGTGATTAGTGCTGTTCCTTTGTTCTGGAGAGCCATTTTTCTCCATCTCCTATCTTTTCTACGCTCATTTTGGAGTCTGAACACCTAGGCTAGGGACAGACATTACACACAAACCAGTTTCTGATCACTTAAACTGGTTTAAACCTGTAACAGAACAGATGTTCAGTGCACATCATCCAGTTTCAAAATGGCCAAAACTGGTTTGAGAGAAACCTGGTTGAATGTAGTATCAGACTTAACTGATTGAGTTCAAACTGGTTTATGCAGTGTCTGTCCCAGACCCCTTCCTGGTTTAAGTTAAACCAGGGCCCCCCAGCATGCTCTCTGGGCTGGGCTCTCTGCTGCAGCCCAGCAGATCTGGCCCCACCTCTCTGCTCCCCAGCTGGAGCAGGGGCCTGGCCAGGTGCTGGCCCGGAAGGGAGCAGGGAAGAAGTTTATTTCTCCCCTCCTTCCCTGTCCCACCAGCATGGACCTGCACTTCTCCGTGCTGGCTGCTCCAGTGGCAGGAGCATCGCCAACCCTGGCACTAGCCTTGGCTGAACTGGTCAGAGAGGGGTTTAATTCTCCCTTCCCTGTCCCACCAGCAGGGACCTGAGCTGTGTCTGCTGGCTGATTCCCGCCTTGCTGCTGAAGCAGCAGGGCCGGGATGCGGCCAGAAGCCAGAGATCATGGACCCTGAGGCAGAAGGGGCAGGGAGGGGGATTATTCTCTTTTCTATCCCCCCTGCTCCCAGGGGACCACTGCTGTTGCTTGCTCCCTGCTTGGGACAAGTGGCAGAATAATCCCCCTTCTGCTCCCTCTGCCGGATGCCAAAGGGAGGGGGAATAACCCCCATCCCTGCACCCCGCCTAAGGGACCCTGCCGGCTGGCCTCTGGCCGTGCCCTTGCCCTGCTGCGGTGAGAGAGCAGGGCTCTTGATAGGGGACAGCAGCCCCTATCATGGTATCGGGGAGTGCAAGCCCCTTCCCAGTGGGGGGCTGCACTGTGGGGCAGGCAGAGCTGTGGCAGACTGTGTGTGGCAGCACCGGGGCACCGCCACGGTCTGCACCAGCTTTCTCTGCCCCAACGCGCAGCCCCCCCCCTCCCCCTTGGGAAGGGGTCGCACTCCTGGAAACCATGACAGGGGCTGCTGCCCCCATGGTGGTTTCTACCCCCTCACCACTCCAGTGGCTGGGTGGGGGTGGGGACAGATGCCAGCCAGCAGGGCCTCTTAGGTAGGGGGCAGGGAGCAGGGTTATTCTGCTGCTTGCCCCAGGCACAGAGCACAGAGTGAGCAGCAGCAGGGATGGGAGCAGGCACACCCTCTCAAGAGCCCTGCCCCCTCGCTGCTGCAGTGGTGCGGTGGGGGAGCAGCCAGGCCGGCCAGCAGGGCCGCTTAGGTGGGGGCCAGGGAGCGGGATTATTTCCCCCCCCCTCCAGCATTCAGCGAAGCGGGCAGTAGGGGGCTTACTCCACCGCTTGCCCTGTGCAGGGAGTGAGCGGCAGCGGTTGGGGAGTGCAGATCCAGCTGTGGTCCCCCCTACTACAAGACTAACCCGCAAAGATTGAATCAATTCAGGCTCCAGCTTTTGGAATGTCTGTCCCTAACCCTAAGGCTCAGGGTGGTACTACAGGTTTCCCTTTTTCTTTATGTGGGTTTTTTTGTGCAAATTCACTCTTATGCGATGACCCTTTTTATACCAAAAATTTGTTATATGTGAGATAAATTCACTCTTATGCGATTAGTGGAAGCCTGCACTCAGCTGCTTTGTGCGGTGCATTGTGGGAGTGACGTGCACCAAAATATAGTCTCCTGTGTGGATCTGTGCTCCTTGCTCATTGTCTGCGACGTGTTTCTGTAGTTGTCATCCCCGTTACGGTAACATTCACCACTACCCTGTGTTTGCGTAATGTTTGCTGTTGTTGAGTACCAAAATTGTCTTGTAAAAGTGGTAGAAATGGGTTTGGGGGTCAGTATAGTTGAGGTCTTACAATGTAATAAATAGGGATGTGTTGCAAAGTGGGTTTCCTTTATGCGAATTCGAGTTATGTGCCGTTTTCCAGGAATGCACGTACAGCATAAAGTGAGGGAAACCTATATATCTATTTGTAAAAGTGTAGTGGACTCTATGTACACCAGAGTTGGATTGGTTGTATAATGTGAGGAAAGCTGGCTTCCAAAACCAAATCAAGGTCTCTACAACAGTTGTCACTGTTTATGCCTTAAAAGAATGTAAGGCCAGCTTTATTCTGTCTTCGGGCAGAAGAGATGGTTTCTTGACTGCCAGGCGGTCTCTCCAGAGTAGAGAGGGACTAGAAATTGGCACATTTACATTGTATACCTCAATCTGCCACTGATTCTCTGTGGCCTTGGACAAATCACTTCTCAGCTTTTTCCCACTTATTTCCTTCTATAAAACAAGGATGATTATACTGAACCACAATGGAATTCTGAAGTCTAGTGTGTTTTGAGTGGCTTGAGTGTCTTCCGTTCAAGTTTCTGGAGTAGGGCAAAGTAATGTTATTGAAGACTGGGACTGGGAGAGGTGGCAGCATGAACTATGGAGTTAATCTTGAATAAAGGCAGTCTTCTGCATGTTGGGAACACACTGCAGTTTGCTCCATTCTAGCCTTTCTGTCTTGTAATGCTTTCTGCTTCGTGCAGGAGCTGGAGACCAGCAAATATGCCACTTGGGAGAATCCATAGCAAACTCCCTGAATGGCTGGGGGTGTCCTGCTGTGCATCCTGGGCATCTCCACCAACCTGCTTGGTGGAGAAGTTCTTGGACTCTAAGCTGTGGGTTGTGTGTATAGCACCTCAGCTTCCTTAGTAGGGACCCTGCTTCTTAGTAGGGCATTGTGTGCAGCTGAGTAAACCAGTGATGATATCTGGCTGTGATTGATGAAGCTGAAAAAGGCTGGTGATAAGCCAGGAGCTTCCTGATCTGATTCACCTGCAGCACAGCTAGCTCTGCCTGCCACCCCCCACCCCCCTTTAAAAACCTATCCCATGACAAGTGTTTGCAGCTTCTTTGAATCCCTGTTATACCTCTGAGCAGGGAGTCTGGAATGAGAGGGCTGGGTCCTTCAGAACAAGCATTTTCTTGTATGTGTTTAATTGTCTTGGCTCCAGGAACCAACTTTTCCTTTTGAGTGGTTAGGATTTCACACACTTCGATTGCTCTGCTGCTCTCTACATGCCGCTAAGCTCTTGTCTACAGCTCCAAAGGGTTTGTCAGCTGATGAACCACCGCATCTCCCAGGGGTAGAGAACATCTGTCTCAGGACCTGCTGTAGAGTCATGTGAGTTTGCACGTGGAGTTGTTTGCTTTCCTGTTACCACCATCAGCGAATCACCATTCTTTGTAGTATGGTTGCAGTTTTGTTGAACTACAGAGTTGGTTTGATACAAAGTGTTGCCAAACAAATCCGCCTCTCTTTGTGGCACTCTGGTAGGTGGGACCCGTTGTAGACAAGTGTGATGATAAGATCTCTACCTTGCAGAATTTTCCACTTGACTATATGCAAATTAGGGGAATATCACGCAGTGCACTGAAGAGTGTGTGAGGAGCAATTTACCCGGCAGCAGGGAAAAAATGAGCAGAAGGACACCATTTTTTTGATTCTGTACTACCTCTTCTTTATCCTCATTGCTGCCCTCTCTTCTCAAGTTAAACATCCCCCCCCCCCCCAATCTTTCCAGATGGTTAGAGTATATTTTCAGCTCTCTTAAGAAGGTGCAAGACATATGTCCTTGATTATTTTGACTAATATTTATATTGCAGTAGCACCTACAGTTCTCAGCTAGGCTTAGCCCTCTAATCTAGGCATTGTGCAAATATGAATGGCTGTTCCTGTTCCACAGCCTTAGTACCTGTTGCTGGAAGGTAACGTGGGACACACTGGATAGATAAAGTAACCAACTTTATGGGAGCCTGCTGGTCACTAACATTGGGAAACCCTCAGCATTGTACTGCTCTTTGTTTCCATTCTTCATATGAACTGGAAAATGACTTTACCTGCCAGGTCTGTATTTTTTCCTGCAGTAACTGAAGTTATCTGTGTTTTCTCAAGCTGAGTAGGTAGCTGTATTGATGCCCTCAGCTCCTGCAAGGAAAATGCAGAACCCAAAGTTTGGATCTTGGCAAGAACTACTGGATTTCACTTACTACATTCACTCGACCCCTTTTAAATCAGTTGAGTTATTCTTA